GAGTACTTGAAGAAGACTTTGCGGAATGAATTTTGATGAACAGTTTGAGTAAAGTGCAAGCAGGTCTTTAAAAAATTAAGTCAAAGTGGCAAAATGTGTAACAAGATCATTAAACCAGATTTGTCCAGGTTTCTCGCTTTTTTTCAGCACTAACGTTGGTCTTTTCCAAGACCTGGACACAATTTATTTAGAGCAAATGCATTCAAATTTTCCTTCCTGATTGGTTTCCGTCTAGATTGATGGGTTGGGTAAGATCAAGACCAACACAATCATCAAGGAGCTGTCCAAACCCTGGATGCTGGATGAGGAAGCAGGGGAGACCACAGAGAAGTTTCCTTGGAAGATCAGCGAGGAAGAAGTCACCACGCTCAACGAGAAGGTAGAATCTCCTTCTTGCGCTCAAGCACCCCCCCCCCCCCCTTCCACAGAGAAAGCTATAAACGAGGGCCATTTGGGCGCCATCGTGGCTTATAAATGCTGGTACCAAATACACGATAACCAGCATGAGTGAACCAGTGAAGTGTCCCTCATTCCGGCTTCTGCTTGTTTGACTATAAAGCGCCCTCTTTTGTCCATGCATGGAGACAATGCACTTAGAGCTCTTCCCAGTATCCACTTTATACGGAAGATGGATAGTGCCACTCAATGAGTATGAATACATTTTTTTTGGTGCGTGTGAAAATATTTTTTTTTTGCACACCGGCCGCCACTTATTATGTGGCGGCCGCCAGATAATAAGTGGCGGCCGCCACATAAGTCGCCATAATAAGTGGCGGTCGCTGTACAAAAAATATTTTCACACGCACCAAAAAAATATATTCACACTCATTGAGTGGCACTATCCGTCTTCCGTAACTTAACGCTTAGTCCCTGGTTTTTGTGATTTTAAGTCCAGTCTTGCAACATCTTTAATTGCGTCCAACCTTTGACATTCTGGTGGGTTATTTTTCAAAAAATGAGTATTGATCACTTTCAGTGGAAATTGAACAACTCATAATTAGTTCATTTTCTTTGCCAAGTGGAACTCGACATATTAAACATCAATATTCCAGTCCATTTTCCACCTAAAATCTTTGGTCTTCTTCATAATTCCCTAATAAAAAAATATCCTCCTAGCCAAGATAGTTTGTCTCTTCCATAAATTCCTTCTAAAAAATGTCCTTTTAGCCAAGATGGTTAGTCTTCTCCATAAATCCCTTCTAAAACAAATATCTTCCTAACCATGATGGTTCCTCTCCTCCATAATTCCCTTCTAAAAAATATTCTCCTAGCCAAGATGGTTAGTCTCCTCTGTACTTCCTTCCTAAAAAAATATCCTGCAAGCCAATATGGTTAGTTTCCTCCTTAATACCCTTCTAAATGATACCCTTCTAAAAATATCCTCCTAGCCAAGATGGTTAGTCTCCTCCATAATTTCCTTCTAAAAAAAAACACCCTCCGAGCCAAGCTGGTTATAGTCTCCTCCATAGTTCCCTTCTCAAAAAAATATCCTCCTAGCCAAGATGGTTAGTCTCCTCCATAATTCCTTTCTAAAAAATATCCTCCTAACCAAGATGGTAAATCTACTCCATAATCAAAATATCCTGAACTACCAATAATTATGGTCATCTTCTCAGTAATTCGCTTAGAACAAGTCTGAGTCTTGCGCGTAACTTTGTACACACCTGTCCCAAGTTCTTTCCACTGACTATCCCTATTGCCGAGTATGATATATGTCTATATCTTTTATAAATAGTCGTCATGCTCATTCAAAGGCATATTCATAGAAAGGTGGAAATCTCCTTGCTGCCACGGTGTCAGATTTAACGTTTGGTATACCGTGAGGTATATCTAGGTTGTGTTAACTTCAGGTTTACTCCGATCTTAACGATAACCAAGTTAACGATCATTAAATAACAATTGACTGTTTTTTTTTCTTTTTCTGAAGGCTGGTACAAGGACAAGATTTTGCCCAAGATGGAGTTCTGTGCTGTTGGTTGGGTAAGATCAAGACCAACACAATCATCAAGGAGCTCTCCAAACCCTGGATGCTGGATGAGGAAGCAGCCTGGAGACCATGGAGAAGTTTCCTTGGAAGATCAGCAAGGAAGAAGTCACCACGCTCAAAGAAAAGGTAGAATCTCCTCCTTGGGATCAAGCCCCCCCACAGTGAAAACTATAAACTTTATATTTATTTTTGTGCAAGTTGGTCAGTAGTGCAGAATGATTCACATGTTAACTAATGCATGCAAAATAGAGAAAAAAAGTAAATTTCAATGACTATCATCCCACCCTATATTTGTAGGCTATAGAAATGTCTAATCCCCCAAAACAGATTTTTACCTACCCTACCACACAGTTGTTTTTTTATATGTAATAGAAAACACCACACTTTTTGTTCTTGGTTGGCGATATTATTTTAATATAATGTTTCAGTATCCAATTCATTTCATGGAGCCTTTCAGAGATCTCTCAGGTTATTCTGGATGGCTGCATGTCTAAGGAAACACATGCTTTATGTCAGAGAAATAATGCTCTGTACAATTTTTGTTTGTGAACCCCCCCCCCACCTCCGCCCAACACCTCCCCCCCCCCCCACCCAGGCTTGACCCTACTCATCCCTCACCTCATCTCCATGAAATCCAACTGGGAGAAATGCAAGCTGCGCTTCTTTGCCACCACGGGCAAGAAGGAGCAAATGGACAGGGAGAAGATGAACATGGCCAATATGCTCAGCAAGTTCTGCATCAACTGCTCGGACGTGGAGGTCATCCCGGACCTGAACAAGAAGCCCAAGGAGTAGAGCCTGAGACGGTTCAAGGAGCTGTCCAGACCCTGGATGCTGGATAAGGAAGCAGGGGAGACCACGGAGAAGTTTCCTTGGAAGATCAGCAAGGAGGAAGTCACTAAGCTCAACGAGAAGGTAGAATCTCCTTCTTGCACTCAAGCACCCCCCCCCTCCACAGAGAAAACTATAAACGAGGGCCGATTGGGCGCCATCGTGGCTTATAAATGCTGGTTCCAAATACACGATAACCAGCATGAGTGAACCAGTGAAGTGTCCCTCATTCCGGCTTCTGCTTGTTTGACTATAAAGCGCCCTCTTTTGTCCATGCATTGAGACAATACACTTAAAGCTTTACCAGTATCCACTTTACGCTTAGTCCCTGGTTTGTGTGATTTTAAGTCCAGTCTTGCAACATCTGTTAATTGTGTCAAACCTTTGACATTCTGGTGGGTTATTTTTCAAATATTAGTATTGATCACTTTCAGTGCAAATTGAACAACCCTTAAGTAGTTCATTTTATTTGCCAAGTGGAACTCGACATATTAAACATCAATATTCCAGTCCATTTTCCACCTAAAATCTTTGGTCTTCTTCATAATTCCCTATTAAAAAAATATCCTCTTAGCCAAGATAGTTAGTCTCTTTCATAAATTCCCTCAAAAGCTCCTTTTAGCCAAGATGGTTAGTCTTCTCCATAAATCCCTTCTAAAACAAATATCCTCCTAACCATGATGGTTCCTCTCCTCCATAATTCCCTTCTAAAAAATATTCTCCTAGCCAAGATGGTTAGTCTCCTCTGTAATTCCCTTCTAAAAAAAACCCTCCTAGCCAGGATGGTTAGTCTATTCCATAATTCCCTTCTAAAAAATATCCTCCAAGCCAAGATGGTAGTCTCCTCCATAATTCCCTTCTAAAAAATATCCCCCTAACCAAGATGGTTAATCTACTCCATAATAAAAGTATCCTCATTACCAATAATTATGGTCGTCTTCTCAGTAATTTGCTTAAAACAAGTCTGAGTCTTGCGCGTAACTTTGTACACACAAGTTCTTTCCACTGACTATCCCTATTGCCGAGTATGATATATGTCTATATCTTTTATAAATAGTCGTCATGCTCATTCAAAGGCATATTCATAGAAAGGTGGAAATCTCCTTGCTGCCACGGTGTCAGATTTAACGTTTGGTATACCGTGAGGTATATCTAGGTTGTGTTAACTTCAGGTTTACTCCGATCTGAACGATAACCAAGTTAACGATCATTAAATAACAATTGACTGTTTTTTTTTCTTTTTCTGAAGGCTGGTACAAGGACAAGATTTTGCCCAAGATGGAGTTCTGTGCTGTTGGTTGGGTAAGATCAAGACCAACACAATCATCAAGGAGCTCTCCAAACCCTGGATGCTGGATGAGGAAGCAGCCTGGAGACCACGGAGAAGTTTCCTTGGGAGATCAGCAAGGAAGAAGTCACCATGCTCAAAGAGAAGGTAGAATCTCCTCCTTGGGATCAAGCCCCCCCCCCCCCCCCAGAGTGAAAACTATAAACTTTGTATTCATTTTTGTGTAAGTTGGTCAGTAGTCGGCAGAATGATTCACATGTTAATTAATGCATGCAAATTAAAGTAGAGAAAAAATTAAATTTTAATGACTATCATCCCACCCTATATTTTTAGGCTATTGAAATGTCAAACCCCCAAAACAGATTTTACCTACCCTTCCACACAGTTGTTTTTTGTATGTAGTAGAAAACACCACACTTTTTGTTCTTGGTTGGCCTTATTATTTTAATATACGTTTCAGTGTCCAATTGATTTCATGGAGCCTTTCAGAGATCTCATAGGTTATTCTGGAGGGCTGCAAGTCTAAGGAAACTCATGCTTTATGTCAGAGGGAAATAATGCCCTGCATAATTTTTATTTGTGATGCCCCCCAACTCCACCCCCCCCCCCCCCCCCCAGGCGTGACCCTACTCATCCCAACCTCATCTCCATGAAATCCAACTGGGAGAAATGCAAGCTGCGCGTCTTTGCTGCCACGGGCAAGAAGGAGCAAATGGACAGGAGAAGATGAACATGGCCAACATGCTCAGCAAGTTCCGCATCAACTACTCGGACGTGGAGGTCATCCCGGACCTGAACAAGAAGCCCAAGGAGTAGAGCCTGAGACGGTTCAAGGAGCTGGCCAAAGCCTGGATGCTGGATGAGGAAGCAGGGGAGACCACGGAGAAGTTTCCTTGGAAGATCAGCAAGGAGGAAGTCACTACGCTCAACGAGAAGGTAAAATCTCCTTCTTGCGCTCAAGCACCCCCCCCCTTCCACAGAGAAAACTATAAACGAGGGCCATTTGGGCGCCATCATGGCTTATAAATGCTGGTACCAAATACACGATAACCAGCATGAGTGAACCAGTGAAGTGTCCCTCATTCCGGCTTCTGCTTGTTTGACTATAAAGCGCCCTCTTTTGTCCATGCATGGAGACAATACACTTAAAGCTTTCCCAGTATCCACTTTACGCTTAGTCCCTGGTTTGTGTGATTTAAGTCCAGTCTTGCAACATCTGTTAATTGTGTCCAACCTTCGACATTCTGGTGGGTGATTTTCAATAATGAGATTGATCACTTTCAATCCATTTTTCCGTACAACTCTCAGTTCATTTGATTTGCCAAGTGCATGGAACTCGACTTTATTAAATATCAATAAATCACTCCATTTTTTCGCCTGAAATCTTTTTTTTCTTTCAGTCCAACATACGGATGCGGATCTGTGAATTGCTTCTCCAATATTCCCAGGAGGATCAGCTCATTGTCATGTAAGTACACAAAGCCACTACTAACTCAATAGACTCAATTTCATGGTTTAAGCACACAATTCTGTGCTGATGATCTAGCACACTAGCACAGAAATCCTGCGCTATCCCTGTAAGCACAGAAGTTATCCCCTGTAACTGATTGTTTACACTTTTGCAAAAGCCGTAATTTCTAAGTGTCATGCAAACATGTCTGTTGTAGTATTGGCAATTCCCATGACAATAATGAGTGGCTAATCTAAGGGCACTTACTTCACAATTACGCAAACCTACTCACTATAGCAGAAACTAGCGTGAAATCCTAAACAGGGGTGGATCTAGCTTTGGCTAGGGGGGGGGGGGGATGCGATGTCAAGTTGGGGGGGGGGGGGATCTGGAAAATGTTTTGATTAACCTCCTTCCTTCAAATATCAAATCCTTTTTCCTCATTAACAAAGCAAGCCCCCTAGCCTGCATTATAACTAATTCGTCATTTGTCACGATATTTAATACTTGATGAAATATTCTTCTATAAAAATAAAACAATTAATTTTTTTTTTTTAAAAACCCAATATATCCTCCTAGCCAAGATGGTTAATATCCTCATTAATTCCTCTCAAAAAAATATATGCCCCTAGCCAATATGGCTATAGTCTCCTCCATAATTCCCTTCTAAAAAAAATATCCTCCTAGCCAAGATGGTTAATCTCCTCCGTAACTCCCTTTTAAAAAATATTCTCCTAGACAGGATGGCTGGTCTTCTTCATAATTCCCTTCTTAAAAAAAAATGTCCTTCTAGCTTAGATTGTTAGTCTCTTCCATAAATTCCTTCTAAAAAAGTCATTTAGCCGGGATGGTTAGTCATCTCAATAAATCCCTTCTAAAACAAATATCCTCCTAACAATGATGCTTAGTCTCCTCCATAATTCCCTTTTTAAAAAAATATTCTCCTAGCCAAGATGGTTAATCTCCTCCATGATTCCCTTCTAAAAATATTCTCCTAGCCAAGATATGGTAAGTCTCCTCTGTAACTCCCTTCTAAAAAATATCCTCCTAGCCACGATGGTTAGTCTTCTCCATAAGATGATCAATTTTTTTTTTTAAACCTCCAAACCAAGATGGTTAGTCTCCTCCATAGTGCCCTTCTTAAACATATCCTCAGCCAAGATGATCAATTTCCTCCATAATTCCCTTCTAAAAATATCCTCCGAGCCAAGCTGGTTATAGTCTCCTCCATAGTTCCCTTCTAAAAAAAAAAATCCTCCTAGCCAAGATGGTTAGTCTCCTTCATAATTCCCTTCTAAAAAAAATATCCTCCTAACCAAGATGGTTAATCTACTCCATAATAAAAGTATCCTCATTACCAATAATTATGGTCGTCTTCTCAGTAATTCGCTTAAAAACAAGTCTGAGTCTTGCGTGTAACTTTGTACACACCTGTCCCAAGTTCTTTCCACTGACTTTCCCTATTGCCGAGTATGATATATGTCTATATCTTTTATAAATAGTCGTCATGCTCATTCAAAGGCATATTCATAGAAAGGTGGAAATCTCCTTGCTGCCACGGTGTCAGATTTAACGTTTGGTATACCGTGAGGTATATCTAGGTTGTGTTAACTTCAGGTTTACTCCGATCTTAACGATAACCAAGTTAACGATCATTAAATAACAATTGACTGTTTTTTTTCTTTTTCTGAAGGCTGGTACAAGGACAAGATTTTGCCCAAGATGGAGTTCTGTGCTGTTGGTTGGGTAAGATCAAGACCAACACAATCATCAAGGAGCTCTCCAAACCCTGGATGCTGGATGAGGAAGCAGCCTGGAGACCACGGAGAAGTTTCCTTGGAAGATCAGCAAGGAAGAAGTCACCACGCTCAAAGAGAAGGTAGAATCTCCTCCTTGGGATCAAGCACCCCCCCCCCCCCCCCCACAGTGAAAACTATAAACTTTATATTTATTTTTGTGTAAGTTGGTCAGTAGTCGGCAGAATGATTCACATGTTAATTAATGCATGCAAATTAAAGTAGAGAAAAAAAGTAAATTTTAATGACTATCATCCCACCCTATATTTTAGGCTATTGAAATGTCAAACCCCCAAAACAGATTTTACCTACCCTACCACACAGTTGTTTTTTGTATGTAGTAGAAAACACCACATTTTTGGTTCTTGGGTGGCCTGATTATTTTATTATATGTTTCAGTGTCCAATTCATTTCATGGAGCCTTTCTGAGATCTCTCAGGTTATTCTGGATGGCTGCATGTCTAAGGAAACACATGCTTTATATAATGCTCTGTATAATTTTTGTTTGTGAACCCCCCCCCCCCCCCTCCCACCACCCTCCAAGCTTGATCCTACTCATCCCTCACCTCGTCTCCATGAAATCCAACTGGTAGAAATGCAAGCTGCGCGTCTTTGCCACCACGGGCAAGAAGGAGCAAATGGACAGGGAGCAGATGAACATGGCCAACATGCTCAGCAAGTTCCGCATCAACTGCTCGGACGTGGAGGTCATCCCGGACCTGAACAAGAAGCCCAAGGTGTAGAGCCTGAGACGGTTCAAGGAGCTGTCCAAACCCTGGATGCTGGATGAGGAAGCAGGGGAGACCACGGAGAAGTTTCCTTGGAAGATCAGCAAGGAAGAAGTCACTACGCTCAACGAGAAGGTAGAATCTCCTCCTTGCGCTCAAGCACCCCCCCCCCCCCACAGAGAAAACTATAAACGAGGGCTATTTGGGCGCCATCGTGGCTTATAAATGCTGGTACCAAATACACGATAACCAGCATGAGTGAACCAGTGAAGTGTCCCTCATTCCGGCTTCTGCTTGTTTGACTATAAAGCGCCCTCTTTTGTCCATGCATGGATACAATACACTTAAAGCTTTCCCAGTGTCCACTTTACGCTTAGTCCCTGGTTTTTGTGATTTTAAGTCCAGTCTTGCAACATCTGTTAATTGTGTCCAACCTTTGACATTCTGGAGGCTGATTTTCAATAATGAGATTGATCACTTTCAATCCATTTTTCGTACAAGTCTCAGTTCATTTGATTTGCCAAGTGCATGGAACTCGACTTTAGTAAACATCAATAAATCACGACATTTTTTCGCCTGAAATTCTTTTTTTTTTCTTTCAGACCAACAGACAGATGCGGATCCGTGAATTGCTTCGGCAACATTCCCAGGAGGCTCAGCTCATTGTCATGTAAGTACAAACCGGCGATAATGGCCACTATCGGACAATTAACCTATCACGGAGGAATTGCATCAACGCAGCTTGTAAAATATTGTCTAAACATGATATACAAATGGACGCAGAACGCCAAAATCTGAGACAAACAAAAAATAACGTACAAAATTCCATGTTTCGCGGATACCGCCATCTTTGAAATGGGGGGGGGGGGGGGGCATTACAATGAAAAGACATCCAATCATTCTCAGCTACAGTTGCATGATGAGACGTATTTTCATTGTAATTCCTCCCCCCCCCCCTCCCCCCCGAAAAAAATAATTCAAAGATGGCGGTATCCGCGAAATGGCTTATAGAGTTGTCTAAGGGGCGTGGTTAACTAGCAAACAGCGGTAGGTCAATGGGTGGCGCTTTTCATGGCGGCACAATTGCTGACGTTTTACACGAAATACCAAAAATTCTTTACAAGCCGCTGGCGAAACAAGAAACTTTTTAAACAAAACTAAGGACACTTGTGTAAAAACTTAAAGTTACTTGTATAAAAAGGGCACTCTTTACAAAATAATCGGGGGGGGGGGGGGGGGGGGGGGGGAAGGGTGTTAACCGCTGATGCAAAAAATTGGGGTGGGGTGAGCAATAAGTCTTGTGACCCAGTCTGACTGAGCTACTGTGGTCACCTGATCAAAAGTGGTGATCTGATTGGCCAATGTGCACTGTTGATTGACGTGCAGGAAGGGTCCATTATAACCTTTTCTTTGATTTCTTGCAGGAGTCTACCTATTCCCAGGAAGCGTACTTGTTCAGCTTACATGTACATGTGCCGGCTGGAGACATTATCCAAGGACATGCTGTCAGCAGGGATGCCAAATATGGCATCCAAATAAAGTCAATACAAAGAAATTCACTTGAAATGATAAAGTGACAAAGGACAATTCCAACCAGTTGAAAGACCCTCCTCACTTGAATGCAATTTGTGCTTTGTTTTAATTGATTTCGTTAAGATTGTTTCTTTACCATCTAACGGGCTCACACTTTCACTGATGTTTTCAAAGTGAGTTTCTTGAATGCAATCAAGTAATACTGATTAAGAACAATAAAAGTCTTCAAATAATTTGGAGTCTTTTGATCAAGAAACACTTGTCGCACTTTTACGGGCTTTAAAACAACAGCCAACTCCACATTTTTCATTCATGTGGGCACGTTTCTGTTTCAACTGAAACTAATTAAAATCATGGGTTTTTTTCATAACGAAGCCAAGCGAAAAAAAGAGAGTATTTATCAACAATGGTGGTGCTTTTGGTAATCCTCAGAATGAGGTTTTATGCATACTGTTTTCATAGCCAGTCAATTGTTACTTTTACATAATTCTCACATATTATAACATTTAAAGTAATGCAATCATTTAATAAAAACCAGTGTGTTCTAATTGCTGTGAATAGCATTAGAATATTTCAAACAATTGTTAATCCAAATGCCAAGCTTTAAGTCTATAAGAAAATCAGATTCAATCACTCGAGACTTTTTTCGTGACATGAAATAAAAATTGATACATGCATGGGATTGATTTAATTGACATCATCTGTGCTGGGCATACAGGGAACATAAGGCGAAGAAAATAACATGTTATAGTAAATGCTCTAAAATTATCCAGGTAGGCAGGAAAATATTTCGTTTGTTTGTCTGTATGTCTTTTATACTTTGTTTGCTTTAATTAGGATACAGTTATTGTGTTTAATTAATCTGTTTTAAATACCCAATACTACAAATAAGTTGCTTTTATTTTCGGGAAAAAAACATGTTATTTTATATGTTGACCAAATGTGGCAATAAAAAAAATGGCGGTCGGAAACGTGGCCTAAAAAATCCAGGTTGGTCGAGATAACACCATAAACACAATTTGTTTTAGTTGTTAACATTTCTGGATACATGGTGGCACTGCTTTATTGCAAACCTTTGTTTCTAAAATAATGATGACCCAGCTTGCTTTGAAAAAATATTCCATCAAAATCTATCTCGATAGGCCTACAATGGGTCCAAAAAAAAATCGTCAAAAAACTTAACGCATACTTTTCACTATATCCCAATACTCATGCATAAAGCTAAATATTTTGTTTTGTAAAAAGTCCAAAAAGAAAATGGCAAATCCATTGTAGTATACAGATCGGCGCATGCGCAATGCAAAACCATTAATAATAATATTTTGTGACATTGTCATTGAATATTATTTGTTTTAATTCATTAGTTATTGTTTCGGCAAAATGGAAAGCGATTAAAAAAATCAGCAACACAATGCTCGTGTATCTTTGTATGTTGTGATTGTTGTGTTTATTCGGGGTAAAGGAGGAAGCCACTGAATGAGGTGAAGTGATAGGTGGATTCACTATACGCCCTACCGTACATTGTGAGATACATCGTATCTCCACGCTGCAGAACCACCACCGCGCTCCCAGACACCTGCTCATGGTGACTTGAATCATTGCTAAAGCCAGAGACAACCGCGTCGCCGTTCTTCCGGAGATAAACCCACAGGTAGCTGCTGGAAGAATATTTGCACACAGAAAACATGAACACGTAGGTGCCCGGCAAACCACACGTGAACGTGCCGGTCTCGAGATCGAAGCTGGTACCCGGCAGAAGCGTCTCGGTCGCCTGGAAGGGCAAACGGGTGTCGTGACTCGTAGAGGTATCCGAGCTGCTCGTCCTCACCACGGTGAATGCTACCCGCTGGTTGGAGTCGTCTGGTGCCTCCCCTGGCTCACCCTTTTGACCTTTGACACCAGTTTTCCCCGTTGGCCCTACAGCACCTGGGACTCCTCTTGGACCGATTTTTCCGGGCTGGCCTATGCCTTCGTCCCCTTGAGGCCCAGCTGCTCCACGCTCACCCATAGGTCCACTCTGTCCAATATCACCTTTTTGACCTGGCTCGCCCTTTGACCCTGGCTGACCTAAGGACCCAGGCAAACCTGGTATGCCGGGAATTGCAGCCGACCCCTGGCAGCACATCGGACACGCCTGAGACGCAGGACCATCACCGTCCGAGGCAACCGGCCCAGTAACGGAAGCTCGGAGGTTGACGGAGTTACCCAGAAGGAGGGCGATTGAAAGAACGGTTGCCACGAAGATTTTCATTCTGTACAGAATAACAACGATTAAACTGAAACAAATCAGGTGAGATTTTTTTTCGATAAAATAGTTTTTAAAAACGGGAAGATTAGAGAAAAATAGTGAGGTTTGATAAACAGGAGAACTAGTCTAAAGTTCATGACAATCCGCCGTCAGATTTGAACTTTGAAGAAGAAAAAAAAACCCAAAAAATGAGATTGGAGGAATCATTGTTCGAAGAATGTTTTTTTTTGTTATATAACAGTGGCGTATGAGGGGTCAAGGGGCTAACATTTATGAAAAGCCTAGTTTATAAAACCGGTTGTCATGGCAACCCATTGGCAACCCAATAAGAGTCTAGAAAGGTCACCAAAATGCATTCCGATAGGGCGAAGCGTTCCGGAGCTGTAGTATTTTTTTTGGAGGGGGGGGGGGGGGCGGAGCACATCTTGCCCCTTCCCCGGTCCTGATAGAATCATTAATTAAACCTCACCACACCCACCTCGATGGTTCGTTCTTGAAGATCAGGTCCAAGAAGAGATCACAAGGAATTCAGTGTAGGCTGAAAAAAAACATACAAACGAAGACTGGTTAAGTTTACACTTTAGTCAGGAATACTATTTTATTATCAATTAAGATAAATGAGTGAGATTTTTTTCTCATTTGGATACATTGCCACCCCAAAACAGGAAAAATTTCTCAGCAAGTTATTACGGTCAAGTAATTAAAATAATAAGTTTTCTCGGCCGAATTCGTCAAGAAAAACAACCTGTTTAATGTCGCATTGTTCAATTTCTCTCGAATTGACTGACTCTTGAAATTCGCTTTCAATTTGTTTAAACGTTATTATTGAAACTTTTTTCAAGTTTGGATTAAGGAATGTACAGCTATTTCAAAGATTGGAATGCCTGGGAAGGGAATATGAAAAACGCAGAACAGAACTGTATCAATGTAAAGTGTCAAAGTGATAGAAGGAAATACATTTAGAACACTCGCCGATAAAATACTATGTCAAAATACAGATTTTTATGTAAGAACAATTAGGTCACCAGTTTGTTAATTGTTGTAATCCCTCTTTGAAAGTAAAAAAAAAAACATATCAATTTGTTTTTTGTGTGGCCAATACGATTGGCGATTTGCGAATTGCAAATTAAATAGACTCCTTATTCCATTGCACTTTCGTTGAAAATGAATACTTCCTCTTACAAATTCGCCGACACTCAGTGCAAAATCGAATACCAACAAAAGAAATGGATTTTCTTTTGCACGGAAAAGTTGCCTTCACGCTTTGGTTGGTGTAAAATATTTAAAAAAAAATCGAATGCGCTAAATGCGACCTTTTTTTCAATGTAATGAACAGTCTCTCAGATTGGAAGAACAAGTTGCGAAATTGGACGGGAAAACCTATATGTTATGATTCCCGAAGTTGATAAACAATCACAAACGAATTACAACGTGATCAACGATCAAGGAAAAATTAGGACAACGGTTGCGAACACAATTCCGATTTAAAAAATAAAGAAAAGAAGACAAATTCCAAAGAATCTGATTACACAGCAACTAAATATTGGTGTGATCAATATTTGTTTTCATCTTAGTTCTCTTTTTTTGCCAACTGATGTACCTGCAAAAAAAAAATGTGAAGGAAATTTCAGCGTGTTTCCGCTATAAGTTCGAGGCACCCTGATGAGTTTAACGAGGAATTTGCAAAGACTGCGGGCCAAAATGTCTGGCATAGTTCTACGGTGGGTGTTATAGGGAGGGAATATCACTCGAGGGATGTTTTCTGTTAAAATTTTGACCAAAAGGTGTATAAATATAGACAAAAAATACAGTCTCCCACCAAAATCACTGCTCTGTTCGATGATTGAGTGAGGAAAATGTCAAATAACAGACACTCACCTCGATGTAACGTTCTTGAATTCTATCACGAAGGGAATCCTCAACACTCAGCAGATTGCGAGCTGGAAATAATACCAACGAAAATGAGTCATTGAAAATCCGCTGGGAGATATCTTGGGGGCTGTTGGGGGAAGCATAGCTGAATTTCACAAGTAAAACACCCCCAGATCAAAATCTCTGTCGGGCGAAATGTGATCTGGATTGATAATATATTTTTAAGCGGAATGCGTCCTGCATGCAACAGTCCCGAACAGACCCACGCACGAGCAACAATATTCAAGTCTTCTTTGTAGGATTTAATATTTTCAAATCAAACGTAATAACTACCAAAACAAATGCCCAGATTTTCTGAGAGAAATCTGTATGCAAAAAGAATTTAAGGACACGTAGGATCATTTGCAATTGCCCGGAAAAGTACATTTAATGGCAGAAACCTTGCAATGCTGAGAGTGAAGATAACCCAGCTAACACATCACGTTGCCACAACGTTGTGCAAAGTTGTGAAAATGTTGTCATTTGGTAACGTGTCACGATGACATTCAAGCAACGTTGACACAACGTTTGACTGTATAATTGTTGGTTGTAAAAATGTTGTATATTGGTAATTTGTACAACGTTGTACGAAAGTCATCATATGACATTGTATTGACGTTGTATGGTGGTCGTTTCACAATCGTTGTAATAAAGTAATAAATATGACGTTGTGGTTACGTTAAATGTAGGTGTTTTCATGACGTTGTTTTTAAGTTGTCAATGTTACGTTGTCAGAACGTTGTAATTTAGAATGTTTACAACGTTGCTGTGAGGTTATAATCATGACGTTGAGTTAACGTTCCATCTACATTATTTTATAACGTTTTTTTCAGTTGTGAAAATCACATTGTCACGATGTTGTAGTTTAGTATTTCAAAACGTTGCAGTGATGTAAAATTCATGACGTTGTTGTAACATTGTACGTGGGTACTTTCACAACGTTGTTGGTATGTTGTTATTCTCACGTTGTCATGACGTTGTAGATAACAATTTACACCACGTTGCTGTGCTCATGACGTTATGATGACGTTGCATAAAAGTCTCACCATAATGGTGTTGTTAAGTTGTAAATTTCATGTTGTCGTGACATTGCAGTTTGGTATTTTCATGTTGTGTTATGTTGAGAGCTCACGTTGCTGTAACGTTTTATAAAGGTGTTTTGACACTGAATTTAAGTTGCAATTATGCTGTGCGTTACGATCCATGCTGTTTTGGTATTGACAAAAACATTGTGATTACGATTTACTGAATGTGAAGTGAACATAATATGTTTTAATTAATGATGTTTTATTTGATAATAATTAACATTTGGGTGCCGCCTTGCATTAATAATGTAACTCATGAAATTTCGAACATCATCATGTTTGTTTTGTCGTAGTAGGAATATAATGTTTCCAGATATTTTTCTAATGGTCTAAGATGGATGAGATCGTGGTCAAAGCGCGACTGTTTCCCGCTCATATTCATTGTTGAATACTCAATGTATACATGTACTTTATTGCACACACCAACGTAACTAGAAATATGATTCCTGTTCTCAAAGAAAATATTACCATGGCGCATGCGCATCAGCAGAAATTCCACGTCCAGACCGCGTGATAGCTTATTTGAATTGCTCTGCTCAGTCGAGTCAGCAATCGAGCAGCAGCAGCTCACTATAACGGTCGCCGACTCGCCGTCCAGTTGATGTGAAGTAGCCATGGTCGCCAAGCAAGTTATTTTCACTACAGCATTTCTTAGAAGGTAGGAATGAAATTTTCTGTATCTTGACTTCATTCTTGTGTCGAACACATTGTCTAAAAATCTGATGAAAGGATCAAATTAAAGTAAAACAACTTTTCGAACAAAGTCGCTGTCAAAAAATGAAGATTTTCCTATGCCTATCATCTTTGGTTTTTTTTAATAATTGTTGAAAATGTTCTTCAGACTCGATCAGAATAAATGTAGATTAATTAGGAGTGAAAATATGTGCCTCAATTGAGATTGGAGGCTCGTCAATGCGAACAGTTTTGGAAATCATACACTGAAAGAAACGTTCAAGTCATTTGGTTTTCAATTTGATAATAAAATCTTGGTATTATTCCAAGGAAATATTATACATGTGGATCAGATTTACTCGAATTCATGTTAGACCTTTTTAAAAACGTTTTAGGTTGGAAAGTTATTTGTTCGGTAGTTATAATTTTACATAAAACAGATATTGTTTTAGCAATTGGTAAAAATGGCAAAAGTGTATACATTATATCGAGAAGACTTTTGATTTGTGTACTATAGTATATGCCTATGTTTGTATTTTTTCCTTCAAATTGATGAATTAATTAAAATGTAAAAATATTGTATTGAGATACCCATGATACCCGAGCCAACAACCGTGAAATTGTTACCTGGGGTATCTCTTAATTTATATATCTGAGTTGATTTTCTCTCAACTAAAACTAGAGAAAATTTGAGCATAAACAGTCCGTTATAAAATTCCCGCTCAAAGACACAGTGTACGGTTGTAATAGCAACGCGCATTAGCATTTTAGTCTCAAGGGTCAGGCCTAAAGTTCACGTACCAGGACCGTACACGTATAAACGGTCATCTGGCTTTCGTTGGCTTGTACAATAACAAGTGTATACAGTTTCAATCCGGGCTTTCGGGCTGTATAGCTCCCAGGGTTTGGCGTGATTTATGGGAGTTTGACCAAAGTGTGTGGAGTAGAGTTCAGGGCCAGGTCAGCACTGTTACAAGATCAATGAAAAATACGCGAACTATAAAAGCCTTTTCTAAAAAGGGTCATTTGTAGACTAGTTGTATTATTTATGTGGGTTGAAGAGCACGGGGACATCATATTTACACTGTGTTAAAACTTGATTAGTTTTATATATTTCTCAACCTTAAAAAACATCGTTACTTTCTCCAGGTAGGCAGTACACATGTATGCTATACGTGAGTGCACTGGCAGCAGGATGTGGCATGTTTAAACTTTTAACTTCAGCAGTCTTCGAGGGAGGAAGTTTCTAACTATTTTGAAAACCACCCCATACATCTCTTCAAGGTTGTTGCTGTAAGTAATTCAACATACACTGACCTTCTATATACATGTTCTGTAAGATGGTGAAATTAACTTTTAAAATGTGTTGAAAATACACCTTGGTCGAAATTTGTTAAGTGATTACCTGACGTTCACCAGACACCTATATTAATTCAATTTATGTATTCATGAAATTTATCTATACTATAAAATTCAAGACCGTGAACCCATTGCATGCATATCCAAATCCTTCCAACTCAAAATGTTCATACTAGCACGTCCGCCTTAACAAAGTCATTCTTGTCGAGTCATGCGCCAGAAAAGATGCGTGCCCAATACTCTCTAAAAATAACCAAAAAAACCCCACACATTTTGCGTGAACCTCCCCGACGAGAGCTGATTAATTTTTTAGTAGGTTTTAACTTGAATGTTGTGAAAAAATGCAATGAAGTTTATAATTTTTATCGTTAGATGTCTTTCAAAAATAATAACTTGTATTTCGCAGGAAAATAGCAGTTGAAAAAAAGTAAATAAACTTTCAAAGTGAAACTCGAAAGTAGCGTAGGCAACGGATCTTTAATCAAAATAATTATGAATCAAATTAGGTTTTGCCCTTCACCGACGTATAAACACTGTGTACCCAGTGTGTATTCGCATAAAATAATTATGCGCATATCAAAACTGCAACTGGACGGTTCTTCTTAATATTTAATGAAACTGTTTCGTGTGGAATTTAAATAACTTTAAAAAAGCTTGAGCTCTTTGGTAATCAAATATTTTCTGTATTATATTCAGGTACCTGCATGACATGACTTCGCATGAACTTTTAGAAATGGCAGCCGATTGTGCTTGGTTGTCTAGAAGGGCCAAGATTCAAGGTAAGTGTATTAAGAAACTAACCATCGCAGTCACTAAATTGATTGGTCCAAAGGTATCAGCGACAAACACCTTAAATACACTTCTGAAACGAGCACCATAGACCTAATGCAATGCCTACTACCAAGACCATAAACTTGCGGAAGAACCAACATTTTGATCGTTACGTACATACATTTGAACATGAAGTTGTTTAGATTACATAAAAATGCGTAAAACAGGCTTGCGCTTTAACTCTCAACCAGGGTTTTTGGTTACCCTTTAAATTTGAGAAATATCCTTGACTTCAGGGTCAACTTGAAACAAGAGGCTCATTTATTTTATCCCTGTCTCTTGTGGGTTAAAGATTGTACATGTAGAAACACAGGCACAGCTCTGCTTGAAGTACATGTATTGAGAAGACAGACATTATCTGGATATACATGTAGTTTTAAATTTCACATCTGGTGAGCCAGCGTGACACGTAGTGAGTGTTTTAGGCCTGAGGCAGCAACCATTAAATGGTTCATAATGTTTAAATAATTGATACATTGTTTTTTGTTTTCCTTATTTTCTTGTCAGATTCGTGTCTTTGGAGAAGTGCCATATTGACAATTAACCTTGCTGAACAAGGAATCCACTTACTTCTACATCTGGATAATCTTCTGTTAAAGGTTCCATTAGATGAATGTTACGCTAAAACATAGATTGGGCAATTAGCCAATCTTAATGGAGGTATTCAAAGAAAATCATGTTGAAATGTCAATATTTTAAAATGCAGGTTTTTGCGAGTTCCCTGCATACAAATATATCTTCACGAACAAACGCTATTCAAGTATCCCTTTCAAGTGTAATTCTTTTTCATAGACTCTGTAGCTACAAAAAAAAACCAAAACAATTCCTTTGAGTTTTCTTTTGAAGATGTTCCATGGGAGAGAAAGAAATTGAAGGATCTAGATAGAGGACAGATTTAAAAAGCATGTGATTCAGTAGATTAAAAGTTGTCTGATCTATTTTATTTGTTCGATGTGAAAGTCGCCTTCCTATACTATATTTCTCATCACGGACAGTGGAAAATACTAATTTTCAAATACTATTTGAAACAATTATTTTGCCTGAATGTACGTTACGTATAGCACTGTGTATTTTTCATGAATTGATCCAATACATGAATAGGTATTCTCTAGTGTGGGTAACATTGTGATATGGTACCCCTCTGAAGGTGATGTATAAAACCGGTTAGTGGTTAGTTGGTCGACGATAATAGCCCTTGTATTCCGGCTCTGGCTATATTATTGGCGACCAGATCGACCCTTTATCTTCTAATTGCTCAGTAACAACGTTATTGTCTTGTTAAAAGGTTGGTTCATACTCTGTGAAGTTACGGCAATTCACTTTGTGAAGTTACGGCAATCATTAACGCCAGCGCTAAAAATTCTGGGGAAAAAAGAGTGAACCACATTTAACTCTGGGCAATTTGGAGTCAAATGGTTTCGATGTCAACATTTCAAAATTTGCTTTCACTTGAAGTATGAACCGATCGTCAGAGCTCAGCCCAGTCACTAAGGCGTGAATTCCTTAATGTGGATTCAAGTAAAAGACTTTAATTGTATACCATTCACGAAATGGACCCTGTAGTAAAATGTGCATGTTGATGTGTCCAAATAATTGCAGTGAGTATTAATTACACTTACCGTTTTAGTGATTGCATTTTAGTAATGTTTTTACATGCTGTTGTTTCTGAACACTCTTTGTAATAAAATTAGAGAAACATGAATTACATGTATGTTTAATTGTTTTGTTATCGTTTTCAGAAACATTTCTCCATAAATGCCCAGTAGGCTGCAGTAAGTTGGCCACCATGTTGCAGCAGCATGTCCATTAGGTTGTAGTAACGTGTCCACAAAGTTGCAGCAACGTTTCTTTAAAGTTGCAGAAACGTCCCATTTAGCTGCAATAACGTGCCCGCAAAGTTGCAGCAATGTCCTCATAAAGTTGCAGTAACGTCCCCATAAAGTTGCAGTAACGTGCCCATAAAGTTGCTTAAACGTGTCCAATACGTTGCTTTAACGTGTACAATAAGTTGCATCAACGTGTCCAGTAAGTTGCAGTGACGTCCCAAATTAGGTTGCAGTAACGTGCTAATCAAGTGGTAATCATGTCGCCAAAAGGTTGTAGAAACGTGCGTAGAAGTTGCTGTTATGTGTCAATTTGGTCGCAAATAACGTTGCGTCAAGGTGGTAATCATGTGCAATCACGACCAAAAAAAGTTGTGATGTATGTTGCGTTTACGTTGAGGAAACGTCATTGTAACGTTGCGTGATAACGTTGTAGCAACGCGCACGCGAGTCAACATTTTTACGTTGCCGCAACGTCATTTTCCTCACGTGGCAACAACGAAAACCTGACCTTTTTGCAACGTTGTCACAACGTAAATGTGTTAGCTGGGAAGACTGGTATCAAATACCCGGTAAAAGTATTTCGCCTGATATGTCGGTTGAAAACTTTGCAGGTGTTTTTAAAATTAAAAAAAAATAGTTAAGGTGTTATAAAGCACGGAATCAAGATACGAGATCCAACAAAATAGTGCATACGTTTTCTCTGCTTTTTCTTAATGATAGTATCCACTGAGCTGAAACTTCAACAGTTTAGTTGCGACCTTCTTAAGTTTTTAAAGCCATTTTGTTGCTTCTCACGAAAAAAAATTTCAAAAGCAAATAATCCTATGTTTTCTATTTTGAATTGCTTGCATTTGAAATTGTAGGCATCACAATGAACATACATTTTCTGCATTATCAAGGACAATCAATCTCATACCAAGGCAGTAGTGGCGGAAATCAGGTGGACACCGCAGTCAAGGTACGGTCGTTACACAAATAATTATGTTCCGGATTGGAAATCAGCGCACCGGTTTGACTACTAGCATCATCCCCCATTTGTTTGTTAACCGAATAATGTCCCATATTTTTTTTATTATTATTTCTGTACCAACTGACCAAACACTTTCAAAGTATTCAGCAAATACTACTATCGCCATATTTCAAGAAAATATTCAACGAAATCTAAGTGGCATGCTGAGTGGAACCCTGCATGCAAACAGAGCTTGTTCTTCATATTTTAAGACGAACAGCGGACAAGGCGGATCCGGGGGGGGGGGGGGAAGGGGCCATGCCCCCCCCCCCCCAAAAAAAACCATTTTGTTTTTAAGTGACGTCGCAATAAAGGCACGCACTGGGTACACTACCATCTTTTCGAAACAAAAAATGGTTAAAGTGGTCAGAAATTTCCTCAGATCGCCACAGAGCATTTAGAATTACAAAGAATTCGGGGCCCATGATTAAGCGGGCCCTGAACCCCACGCCGTAATTTTTTTGACCCACTTTCCGGGGACCAATTTTTTGGGGGGGCTACCCCCAAAAAATTGTGTTCTGGATCCGCCCTTGACAGGGAACAGAAGGGACGAATAATGTGCACAGACATCAACGCTGTACATGATTGCTACAAATGAATCCAACTAGATAAAGCAATTTGAACTTGAATAAAACTGTGAGCATCATCACGATCCGGTCCGTTTGTGTTTGCGCCCTCTTTATTCAGTGACACGTTCATCCTGCAGTGATTGAATGTTTGATGATCAAACCGGAATGGCGCACTGTGAACTCTAGCGAAATGACACAGTTTAACAACAAAGTTCAAAGGGTACTGAGTATCCACATAAATGATAACACATAATAAGACAGGCATGTTTGAGTTGTCTGGATTTCCTGATAAACGTTCTTCCGTGACCAACTTCTCCATAACTCTTCATCCTGAATTAGTTTGAGTGATTGCCGGAATACAATGTGAGTACATCGAATCAGGATTTCATGTTTAAAAATTAAAATGATAAATTAAACAGGGACAAAACGAGGCAGAAAATAAGGGGGTGGTTGATCATACCTATATACTGTTTAGGTTAAAGAGTCGAACATTCGCAAGATTGTTTTCTTTAAACCAAAATGTTAACGCAGTAATTTTTTTACCTGAACTATTACAAGTGCGTGAATTATTTTGAATAAGTGCGAATCCCAATCAATTTCAACTATTCTGAATCACAGCAGGGAACTTGATGTAATGAGCTCTTTAAAAAAATGCTCCCAAAATTTGATTCAAAACCAGTCGAGTCTGAACAGCTTTGTTTTTGACACTGAATTATTTCGTGTTTGTATAGTGTTATATCAGACAATATATATCGTCTTAAAAAATTGAAGACGTTTTCGAAATAGTGTGCCGGTGGGCAGACTATTAACGTGTGTTAGCAACGAAATTCAGTGACAAAAACCAAAAAAATAATCCCTTTAATTTATCTGTTTTGGTCAAATGTATAGCATCAACTAAGCTAAAAGTTCAAAAGTTAGTTGTGCTGAATCATACTTAAGATTGTGAGCAATTGATCATATGTTCCTCTAACTGGTTCAAGGTTGCTTGAACTTGTAGTTATAGGAATCACAATGAGCATACAGTTTCTGCATTTGTGGGGGAAATCGATCTCATACCAAGGAAGTAGAGGCGCAAACACTACAGCTGGACTACTGCAGTCAAGTTACAGTCGTTCAATAAAGATTTATTTTCCGGATAGGAAATCAGCGCACCGGTTTGGCTCTAGTAAGCCACCATCTGTTTGTCAACTGAAACTTGTCTCACAAAATATTTCAGATTTGTGAAAATCTGTACCACTCACCAAAAACTTTCGAAAAATAAGCCAAAAATCAATATGGCTGTTTGTCCAAATATCCAACAGAATCTCAGCGGCATGCTGAGTGGAATCCAACATGCAAATACATGAGTGAATTCATCGAGAGCTTTTGCTTCAATCTCTTCAGGCGAACAGAAAGCCTGAGCAATTTGTACAAACACCAACTCTACACATGATTTCTACAAATTCACCCAGTTAAATAAAGCAATTTGAACTTGTATAAAACTGTGTGCATCATATCACAATCCGGTCCGTTTGTATTTGCGCCCTCTATATTCATGACTCGTTCATCCTTCTGAATGTAACTTGATGATCAAAGCGCACTGTGAACTCTAGCGAAATGACAAAGTTGAAAGGGTACTGCTTGAGCAATAACACACAATAAGACAGGAATGTTTTTGATGTCCGGATTTCCTGATAAACGTTCTTTCGTGACCAACTTCCCCATAACTGTTGATCCTGAATTAGTTTCAGTGATTGCCGGGAAACAATGCGAGTACATTGCATCAGAGTTTCCGTGTTTTAAAATTAAATTGATAACATTAAAATGGCAAAATGAGGAAGAAAATAAGGGGTGGTTGATCATACTGATTTTATTGGTGAGGTTATTTATAAAGAATGGAGCTTTCGCAATATGTCTTCTGTAAACCAAAGAAAGACATATTTTTTAAAGTATTAAAAGTGCGTGAATTTGTTTAAGCATTAATCACAATCAGTTGAAACTATTCTGAAATCAGCAGGGAACTTGATGTTTTAAACTCTTCAAAATACTGTAATCAGATATGACTAAAAAAAAGTCCTACTGATAGCCTTTGTTTTGACAATACAACTTTCCGTGAATGTACAGTGTGCTATCCATATAGTGACAAGATTTTAACTTTTTCAAAAACTAAACCAGTCAGTATGTGAACAATAATTTAGTTTGAAGCGTGCGAAATGAAAGTTGAGGCGGAAATAATGTCAGACAGGAATTCCTCATTCCAAACAACAAAACCCTGATAATTATATTTGGGTGATCGGGTACTACCCGATCATTGTTTGGAAATGTTAAGACATTTCTTTCTTTCTTTCTTTCTTGTTTTTTTTTCTGACAATAATTATCTGCGACTTTTCTTCTGAACAGTACAGACTTCAAACCTTTAACAAACATCAACACTGACTCAGAGGTATACCTTTTTATACTCTGACGTCGTAATGACGTCATCAGGTATTTAATTACAAGCAATTTCACTGCAAAACCTCATAAACAAAATGAACAATCATGTTCACACTTTGAAACCTGATTGACAATACATTGATAAACATTTTTTGATATTCGAAGGTAAAGTCGTCTGACCTTTCCTTCCGGGGTTACTGGTAAGTC